ATAATGAACAAATAAGGAAACAAGTAAATCCATTCCAATTTGTATGTTGAGGCATAATGATTATTACTTGTCAATTGTTTTAAAACCACCAAACAAAAACAAAAACAAAAAAAAACCACCAGTGGGGGCTCCTGGGTGGCTCAGCTGGTTAGGCATCTGACTTCGGCTCTGGTCGCAATCCCAGAGTTCTGGGATCGAGTGCCGCATCTGACTCCTTGCTCAGCGGGGAACCTGCTTCTCCTCTCCCTCTGCCTGCAGCTACCCCTGCTTGTGCTCTCTGTCAAATAAATAAATAAAAAATAAAAAATCTTAAAAAAAAATAAAACCACCAGGGCATTTGGTTGCCTGTATTTAAATTCAAACATTTGTAGATTGTAGTTAAGCCCTTCTACAGTCCATTCTTAACAGACTTTTCAGGTCTCAGCTCCCTACAACCCTGTTCAAGTCTTGTCAACTCAGAGCCTTCTAACACTCCCTACCCTTTTACTCTGTGTTTTTAGCTTGCTGTTTTCTTTCTCTCATACCTCAACCTCATTCTGTACTTGGCAGAATGCTATTTCCCCTTCAAAGACCAGCTTAAGAGTCATTGCCTCTGTGACATTGGAGTAATCATAATATAGTTATTTTATATAATGCTGATTTGTATAAATTCAAATCCCTTAAATATTTTCCTGAAGAGACAAAGTCACATTGTCTAGCGATAAGTGAACGGTTAATAATACCTCTTCAAAGTCCATCTAAGTATGTATCTATCATATTGCTGCTTAGTTACCTAGGTATATCAATATCAATAATTACCTAGGTATATCATCCCAGAAGGAGGCATTTGATTTAGGTTTATGAACTATTTCACATAGACATTTGAGTTATGTTCTGAAATAGTTGCAAATTCCAATGTCTTATTCCAACTCCCTGAATCATTTTAAGGAAGACCATCATTATGATTTTTTTTTTCTGCTTAAAATTGGACTATCCAGACTTTAAGCAAATTAGAGATATTGAAAATATTAGGACATCTATATTCTTTGATATGTTGATTTTTCACATTTGAAGTATGAGTTTCAAATAGGAACTAAGTGGATTTAATTTCTTTTTCTTTACTCCTTTGGCTTTGATGCCACAGGAAGCCAGCTTGCTAACTCCCTGATACCTGATATTTCCCTGACTGAAAGGACTTCCTGATGAGGATCAGCATTTTCCCCAAGACAGGAGTGTGAATTTTCTTCTTCCTAAAGATACACATGTCCCTTAAAAGAGCCCAGAATATTTCTTGCAAAACTGCCTCAGTCATTTGAGCACTTATTAGAGCTACTATCAGAAAGGCTGAGGGAAGAAATGCATCATTCCTGCAAAGGAAAAAACAAATGCACCCTAAAATAGGCCAAGAACTTGAACATCAGCAAGATTACAGGCCAGGGGGTAAAAGTAAATCAAGCTTTGAATAAAAATTTGGTTTCAAAAATAAATGCTTATCCTTTAGTTCCCTGGCTTAAGTTTTCCAACTTTCTCACTGCAGGAATTTTGTGAAATATACAAATGGTAGACAAGTATTTGTGTTAATATTCTGAATTTACATTTTTTTAAAATTAGGAATGTGGTTGGTTTGTTGCGGTGGTCTGTCATGAAGTCTGTAATTATACAGATTGCAATTTACACCTAGTCACAAATAGAGGAGTTACTCTCCTAGGACAATTTCAGGATCTCTTCAGGTAGGACAATTTCAGGATCTATTCAGGTAGGAAAATTTTCTGTAACTGAGGAACGACTCAACTTTTAGGCAAGAGCTCATTATGTCCAGGTAATTCCATGCCGATGTGAGCTCTTCCTTTTCCCTCAAGTCTTTATTGATCTTGACCCCAGGTTCTCCATCAGACTCAATCCTGACTGAGCTGCAGGCAATACCCCCGCTGGGTGCGGACTTCAGGCCCACCACTGGAGGGCGTCTGGACGCTTCCAAACAATTCCGAAGCTCCTGGAAAGTCTGATCTAGAAAACTAAAGCACAGGAGGGAGAACGTGATATTTGATTTTATTGGGCTAATAAGTAAAGGGGATAACAGGAAGATTTGGGAGCAAAACTAAACCGATTTCTTTCGTGGGATCAGCCCTTCCCACCGGGGCAGCCAACTCCCTAGAGGGCAGGAGAGAATAATATTATGAAGGCCTGAGCCCTCTGAGGTCCGCAAGGGCAAGTCTCCGAGGGGTTGGTGCCCCACAGCGCCGAGCTCCTGGCTAGATTCCCGGGCGCTGGAGGACGGGGGACGCGTCCCAAGGCGCTCGAACCGCCTTGCTGTCAGGCGATCGTGCTTCCGAGGCCGCTGGGGACCAAGGCGCTGCAACCTGTTCTAGAAGTCCTAGAAGTCCGGGTACGCGAGGCCTTTTCAAATAATAAAGGAACTCCCGCCCCGACCTGCGATTCTTCCCGCACCGGGTTCGTTGAAAGCATCTATCCTTTGGGGAGTGGGCAGTAAACCAACCTCGGGGTAGAAATGTAAAAGGTGTAATGTATTTCTGATGGGCTCCCCTGCCGCATTCATTTCCTTCCTGCTGAAGGATCGCACTGAATTGTAATCACTTTACACTGATTTTCTCAATTTAAAAAAAATGTGTTTCAGAGCATCATTTTAAAGAAAAGTCTTGCTTCCTGCTCATGAACCTTTAAGTCCCTGGTAGGAAGAGGCGAGTTGAAAGGCACATGAGAGATGCTCAGGTTTCCAAGATAACCCAGCTCCGGGCAATGCGCGTCGTGAACAGCGCAGATTTACAAGAACACGAATTCATTGAGGCTTCCTGCCAGCCTGTCTGCTGGGACTTCAAGTCACCTGCAGGGCCTGGGAGACAGATTTCGGCTTGCCGGCTACAGGATGGGAACCGGTTCCTGTGTAATTGAAAAACCGCACTCTCAGGTAAAAAGATGTCAAATCACTCCTCAGCTCAGACGGAATTCAGCATCCAAAGGGTTACGCGCGGCTGCTGGGTTCGGGCGGAGGAGAGGGCGCCTCGGCACTCCCAGTAATTCAATTAGTCAGGTTTCTGGAAGGTGGGGCCGAGGAGGGGGTAAGGAGGCGTGGGGAAGGGAGGAGATTAAGAAAACGCCTCTTTCTCGTGGAACAAACCAATCCTGTTGGAGTGAAGAGAGAGGAAAAAACCCCGACCTGTAAGCAAACAGCAGGCCGTTCACTGACTGGCTGCTCCAACCCCCCCCCGCTTTCCAAGTAAACTGCATGGGGAGGAAAAAAAAAAAAGCAGCCCACATGACCCGGGCCGCGGCGGCAGCGGCGCTGGCTGGGCGCGGGCGGGCGGCGCCTCCCCCTGCTAGGTCCGGAGCTCACACCCGCGCTCGCGCAGCCCGCCTGCCCCGCGCCCTGCGCTACACGCCCGGGCACCGCCCCCTTCCACGGCCGCACCGCCCACGTCCACGTTCACGCGCGCGGCCTTGCGCTCCGGTGCGGCGGCGGCGGCGGCGGCGGCTGCTGCTAGGTCGCCGTTGCTGTCGGCTTTACACGCAGGTCATTAACGAGGGGGCGTGCCCGAGGAGATTTTTTCCCATAAAGCATTTTTTCTCTTTTTTTTTCTCTTTTGCAAAACTGACTTTTACCTCTTTCCACTTCTCGCCAGTCATTTCAATCCCTCCTGGGCTGTTCGTGCTGCTGCTGCTGCACTCAAGTTTATTTTCCCGCCTGGTAGAGGTTTTAGGATTCGGTTGGTGCTTTTCACCTCTTGTTGCTGCTGTGCCCAAGGAGGGAAAGAGGAGCAGCTGCAGGAGGATCGGGAAGGTTTTCTGATGTAGTCATCGGGGAGGTGCCACTCGCTCCTGCGCTCTCTCTCTCTCTCTTTTTTTTTTTTTTCTCTTTTCCCGTTTCAAACTGATTGATGCATCTCTACAAGTTGCCGGGCTTGGGGCAAGACCCGTCGGAGTCGCAGGGACACTTCTGAGCGCTCACCCGAGGCTCTTGGCACCGCGTCTGGGGGCTCAGTCTTGCTCCCGGAAGGCGATCGGAGACTGACATCAGCCCATCCAGGAGTTGGAGGGATTCATTTAAAGTGATTGTTTCCCCTCTCGCTCTCCAGCCTAACAGTTGGGTTGGCGTCGTCCTGCAGGTTTGGGCATCCCAGCTCCGCCTCGCTGGCTGGTTCGTAACCTCTGCTCTTCATTCACTCTGGTGCACCCACACCCGGCCAAGAAAAGCACGCGCGAGAAATCCCCGAGGCTCTGCCAGCGCCAGGGGTGTCGTCTCCCGCCGCCGCAGTCCGACTCCGCCGGGGGGACCTGCCGGAAGACACGGAGAGCCAAACTTTTCTTTGAGGTTTTCAAGGCAAGACCGCTCCTCGCCAGCTTAACTGCCGCTTAAGCAGTTCCAGGACGCCGGCGGGGCTGGGTTTGTGGCCCCGGATCCCCACCCTTTTCGGCGCACCGCCCCGATTCCGCAGCACCTACGACTCCTCCGAGATTTCCAAGGGTCTCCCGGTTAAGGCACAGAGGAGGCGGGGGAAGGGGGTCCTTACCTCCGGGACCACAGGCGCGAAGCCCTCCATCCACACGGAGCCCTCCTCCTGCAGTTTCTCACCCGCCGCCAAAGTAACTTGGAGCGAAGCGGGGCGCACTGCGAGGGCCCTGGGCGGCGGCGGAGCCGTGCGCAGCCCGCGGCGCCGACGCTGAGCCGGGCCCGGCGGGCCAGTGTATGTCTCCCCGCGGCTGCGGCGCGCAGCTCCCGGTGACTGTGCAGCGTGCGCCGCCGCCTGCCCCAACCCGCGGTGCCGCCGCCCGGCCCGGTGCGCACCTCCTCCTCCCGGGGTGACCGGCCTGCCGCCGCCGCTCGAGACACAGCTTGGCACCCCTTCCCCCGCCCTCGCCGCCGCCACCACACACACGCATGCTTCTCTCCATCTTGTGATTCCTTTTTTCCTCCTGAACCCTCCAGTGGGGGTGCGAGTTCGTCTTTGCCCCCTCCCCGACCCCCCCCCCCCCCTCCTCCTTCCCTTCTCCCTCCCCCCCCCCCCCCCCCGTCTCCTCTTCTCGTTCTCCTTCCCCTCCCCAGCTTGGTGTGCGCCTCTTTCTTTTCTCGCCACTCTTCATTCTTATTTATTCATATTTATTTGGCTCCTGCTCTTTCTCCCCTTCCCTCCCTCCCTCCGGATCCCTGCTCTTTCCCCGGAGTGGCTTGTCGGGGGCTCCGCCGCTGGCCAGGCGTGATGTTGCACGTGGAGATGTTGACGCTGGTGTTTCTGGTGCTCTGGATGTGTGTGTTCAGCCAGGACCCAGGCTCCAAGGCCGTCGCCGACCGCTACGCCGTCTACTGGAACAGCAGCAACCCCAGGTAAGGCAATAGGGGGAGCGGAGAGCGGGGATACTCGGGCCTCGGCGCCCTAAGGAAGGAGCGGCGGTGGCGGCGGGGACCTGCGCGCACCAGCCGCGGGCGGCGCGCACCCTTGGAGCCTGTGTCGCCAGGGCGCTGATGGCTTTCGAGGCGCCCACGGGAAGCGTTCCCGTCGCGCCTCTCTTTGTTAAGCTGCCTCAAAGAGGCCAGGAGTCCTTGGGAGTCCCCGGAGCAGCCCAGACCCGCTGCCTCTGCGGAGCGCGGGGAGACTCGGAAAAGGCGGGAGCTGGGGAGTCGAGACTTCTCCGCTTCTTCACCGGGGCAAGCCGGCCAGCATCTCGATCCGGGCGTAGCGCTTGGGCACCGGGAGGTCCCGGTGCGCGCAGCCAAGAGTTCCCGCCTGGAGCGTGGGTGCGCAGGGACTGCAGGGAGAACCCGCCAAACATCCCCAAAGTTTTTTTTTTTTTCTTCCCTTTTCTCGGTACGTTCAGGGAGCGCAAGGGCTGGGAGAAGCGAGGGGGGTGCTGGGAAGCGGAAGCTTTAGGCTTTTATTTTCTTCTAACTGGGAGGCAATCAACCGGCCCCTAGTCCAGTCTCGACCCGGCGCGCCTGGCATTGGAGAGGATTCTCCCACCTCCTTACCCCCCGTGGGCTCAAGGTGCCAGAAAGTTTGATCTAATGCCGGGTTACGTCATGTGTGCGGAGCGAGCTGCTGGAGTTGGCCGAGCCGGGAGGTGGGAGCTCTGTAGTCCACGGCCTGGCGGTGTGAAGCCGGAGGAACGCGCAATTACCTGGAACCGTTTTGTGGGCGTCCCCGAAGCCCTCCCGGTACGCGGAAGGCTAGAGATGGGCGCCTAGGGCCGCCCTAGCGCGCCTGCTGAACTCTGGCCACCCGCAGACGTCCCTTGTTCAGGGATTCTGGAAGTGGGGAGGAGTGAGCGTTGTCCAGTGTGCCGGGCGAACCCCTCCGGATCCAGAGCAGCTCCGAGCCCTACTTTCTCCCCGGCCTGTGGGCAGCAGTCGGCCCCACTGGGCCCAGAATGCTCTGGCTCTCTGGGACCGAGGCCAGCTTCCAGGTGCGGGCTGGTTTCGGTGCCTGCCTAAGAGGGAAATAGCATCGATTATACCTGAAATCCCAGGTTTTTCTCTGGGCTGGAGTGGAAGTTGGGAGGAGAGAGGCTGGAGGCCGAGGGGATGATAGTTTGTGGTGGCTGCGCGCCCAACGTGTATGGGAGAGAGGGGGCTGGCGGGCGCCTCCAGTTCTTCCTACCTCCGGGTGGCCGTGTCCACCGGCCTCCCTCCTTCCCCCTTAATTCAGGCTTGGGAGGGAGTCCCCGCTTGAAGTAGTGTCAGCTCAGATGAAGATGGGCAGATTTCCCCACAAGCGGTCGACCGGTTGCCTAAAGGAGAGTAGCGCGCCCCCCCCCCCCCGCCCCCCGCGCTACTCCAGGAGAGATAATCACACCCAGGTAGCCCAAATTCTAAATTGCACCGCCTAGCAGAAGTGGAGACATCCCTGAAAGTTTGGTTAAAAAAAAAAAAAAATGTCTTCTGGAGGTGGGTGGTGGGATGGGAAGCTATTTCTTCTTTGACATGCCTCTTACCACTGTTAGGAAAAGAAAGGGAAGCCATCCCGCCAGAGGAGATGCCTTTTATTAAAGCTGACAAGACAAATAGAGCAAGCTTTCCAGTTGTGATGGTGTTAAAAGCAAGTCTCATTATGTTGGTTGGTTTTATTCCCCCCCCGGGCTTTATTAAACAGCATATACGAAATACAGGAATTTATATTTCTAAACTTTAGCGCCCTATTAAATAACAGTGAAACTGGTTAGTTGAATGTGGGACATTTTGTGCTTACTTGTCTTTTCCTTCCCACTCCAAACTTCACAGTGTGATCTTTTCCTCACAGTTTTATTTGGATACTTGGGTGTTCCAGTCATCCTAGGTTAAAACAGAAAGAATCAGCAACACCCCCACCTACCCCTCCTTCTTAACCTGTCAAGCTAGTCTGAGTTAGTTCGAGGACATTTTATCTTAGGTTATCTCTGTTTTATGCTTTTGATACTGTTGTTTGGTTTGAGATTAGCACATTGATTTTTGTCACAGGTCATGTTTTTTAATAGATTTGCCCTGCCTGTAGAAAACTCTGCTCAGGATGCCATGGTGGCTTTGAACCTGCCCAAAGTTAATCTGTAGAATTTTAAAATACCAAGGGTATTCTCAAGTCTGTATTCTAATTTGAGGCTTGTGGAAATACCTTTTTATTTGATCGTTACCATTTTGATGATGTTCAAAAGAAAGGATAATGTACCCCTCTCCCAAGAGATTCAGCTCTAACTTTAGTATTCTTAGGGGTTTGTGGGTGCATTTATCTTCATGTGTTGTCACAGTAAAACTTACTTTAAAAAACTAATGTAACTGTGAAAGTAGGGCCTGGTAGGCAGATTTCTCTCTGAAATGTTGAATAAGATGGGTTTTTTTTTGATGTATTAAGAAGATTCAGCTTGGATGTGATTTAAAAACAGCCAATGCAAAATAACTAGTTTAGAAATAAGCACAGTTTATCTCAAAAGATAGGGAAGAAACATTTTAGAAAATTTTCAAGGGTTTACTAAATTTTATAGATTCAATGTTTTACATTTTATTTTCGGTAATAATGTTATTTTGTAAAGTAAGCTAATCATGCTTTCTGATTTTATATAAATCCTATTTTTTTAGGACTTGTTAAACTAATAAGATCAGAAGACTTAATCTTTTAGAAAAAAGTTGAAAACTTTGATTGCAACTTAAACAGATTAATTTTTTTTTCTTAGATAAGTTCAGTAGGCACTTAAGCTCCTAATAAGGGATTCTGTGGCAAAATGAAGTAAATATATTTTAGCTTATACTAATGGAGGTGAACTTGAAATTATGTTTAAATACAATTAGAATTAAGTATTACATCTTGATCACAGGATTTAAATATCTTATATTGTAACTTCTGTAGTCCTAGGAGTTTGTTTTCATTAATGACTCTGTTATACCATTAGCATCCATAGATCTGGATTAACAGAGAAAAAAATATTAAACTTATTTGCTATCAGATAGAATCTATTGTCCTAGGTATTTGCTTCTGGAAAGTGGATGTTCAATTTTCCAAATGCTGGTAACTTTTTAGTTGCTAGTACTTATTGGGTGGCGGGCCAAAAACCAATTTTATGTTTTGAATTGGCACAAATCTCTGAAATAGCAACTGAGAACTATCAATCTGAATAGAAGTATATGTGATAACATTTGCCTAAATGCATCTTCCATATTTTAAAAATTTGGAAAGTTGTCTGGATTTCACCTAAATATAGTAATAGAGTGACCCTTCTAATGTTAGACTGAATTCTGAACCAGCATGTTACTAAGTAACTTTGAGTAATGAATATCTAAATCAAGGAGAATATAGCTATTTGTCTTTAATTTCTTTAAGAATGTAAAAAGCTTTTAAGTAACTTTTTAAAGAGACTTTCAGTAATAAAACTTTATTTACATTATCCCATAGCAGCTACACTTATAAAGATAGAGATGACTCAATATAAGAACATGCCTCTTAATCTGAAGTGTGCTGTAAACAGTTCGGTGCTTCCAATGAGAATATTCTTTTAAATATTGTGTGTATATTGAAAAGTTCTTGGTTTCTTTTGACCAGTTGCCAAAATGATAATAGGATAATTAAACATGTTGCCTACTAATTGGCATTAATGGGATAATAGTAAAATAATACAGTGGCAAATACTACCAGCATACTTGAAGAATATTGATTCTCCGCACTTAATGCTTTGCTTCTGCTGGGTTCTGAGTATCACCAATTTAAAGTGTTATGCTGTGATGGGAAAAAAAAAATCTCTATAATTCACCCAGAGTATACTAAATTTTAACCTAATCATATGTTTTCTTTGGACTTTTAAAATTCTTGTAGGGACTTGTAAATTAAACATTTCATGTTAGAGTAGCAGGTAATTGACACCATTTAGTTTTGTTAACATGTAATCTTGGAGTTGTGTAAGTGTTATGAATTCTAGGTCAATACTCTCAAACCTTTCTGGCTGACAGATCATTTGTATGTGGCTAAGTAGAGAGAGGTAGTAACCTTTTTTTTTCCCCCCCATCATAATCCTTTGGTTATTTTTTTCCTTTCAAAATAAACTTGTTTTATTTTTTAAAATTGGAGTCATCAGTGTTTTATTATGTATATACTAGTATTCTAGCACTGTGCCTTTTCCACTGACAAATAAAGGAAATCGGTTTGTTTCAAATCTAAGAATTTGGAAAGATGGAAAGTTGATCCTGGTTTTGAATGAATTTTATCACCAAACTTGTACAGGATTAACTTTAGTTTTGAAATTTTAAATGTTTTAAATAATAACATATGTTAGAAACTTAAAAGTTCTTCCAGTAAAAAGCATTATTTAGAATTTTTTAACTTTATTAACTCTGAGCCTCAATGTAATGTATTAGATATAATTGGGTAATTTTATTATTTTGATCTTTTTATCAGAATTTATGTAGACATCCGGATAAAAATAAAGCAGTATGACAGAGATTTATATATCCTGTTTTTACCCTGATCCATTTGCAAAAGACCTGAAGTGAATCTCCCCCCCCCTTTTTTTTTACTTTACAAATTGGTGTAATGCTTCTTGTTTTGGGGCACTTTTCTGTAAATGTTTGAAAAGAAAAATTAGCTACTGAGATGTTTGTTCCATCCATTTTATGAGTTATATATTCATAGTAAGCTCTCAGAAATAGTCAACTGTCTTTTTTTTTTTTTAGGTGACTGGAACATCAGTGCTATTTGAGGCATACTTGGCTGTACAGTCTAATTTGGCATTTCCAGCATGAGACCAAGGTCAATAAACTCCCTGTGATTAAAAGAATCAGAGAGAGCCTTCAGTTGTCCATTACTCCCTGTTAGTTGATTTTAGTGGTATTAACTAAACCATTGGCTCACTGAAGGAATATCTTGTTGCCATGTGTGTTCTGGCTGATAATCAATAGCTGTAGAGGCTTCCACCTTTGAAGGCTGAAGATCAGGTTTGGAAGGAGCACTTAGTTATTTGGGGGCAAATTAACCTTGTGAATTTCTTGCCATTTAATCTTGCAAGATGCCTTCTGAACAGGCATTACATTGCATTCTGTCCACTGGCCTGATTTCCTGTTGGATAGGGACAGATAAAGATGAGCGCCTTCTCTTCTCCCCTGTTGCTATGAACCACACAAGCTACCAGCTTCATGCTGGGCCAAGAAAATGAATGAATACAATTAGTCCTTCAGGAGTCCTGGCCTTCGCAAGCTTGGGAGAAGAATATGCTAAAAGAATGTATCTTTGAGGAAGAGAATACATTAAAATACAAAGTGGAACAAAACTAAGAAAATGTTAACAGAATTTTACATGTGGGTAGCATTTATTTATTGTTTAGTGGGTTTTTTCCCCAGTATAAATCATTTGCTTTAATAGTTTTTTTAAAAAGATGCAACTCAACCCTTTTCATTTTTGTATTTGTTTTGAATAACTTCCAGTAGCAATGATGATTTTAAAAGTTACATTTTATTTTTAGTAAGGAACCAGTCTATGTTGACTGATTCCATATTACCAATTTTCTTTTTAGAAACAGTATATAAACTGTTAAAATAACAGCTCTGATTAGAATGTTCATGTTGGAAAGGAAGCCTGTGTGTCCCTAAGTACAGTGAAGAAGGCCCTGGCCACTTACCCAGGATATTCAGACAGGATCAGTTTTCCGAACTGAGAAAAAATTGCCTTTTGATCATTTGTGACGGATAACACCTTCATATTCAGATATAAAAACCTCAAAGAGGAGGATAAGAAATGATCTATTAATATTCACTTTTAGTAATTTGTCTTATGGTGGTGGTCTTAGACAGCTAAACATCAATAAATGGCTGTCTCTTTTAAGGGCCTGATTTATATTATTAGATTTATATTTTCATTTGCTTCTGAACCTATATCCTGACCTGTTTTGTAGAAAAGTTTCTTGTGATTAATTTGAATTTCCAGTGTTTTGAATGGGATATTACTCACAACCAGGAGGTCTATTTCCTCCTAAATTTGTCTGCATTTAGGTCTTTTTTAAGTCAGTAGTAAACAAGGCAGCCCAAAGACAATAGAACCGCTTAGTTTAGAATTAAAAAGTAATAAGGTGGTTTTTTTGTACTATAACTATTATACATAGTTCGATTATAAATGAAAAAAGTTCCCTGTATCTTAGTATTCTTGATAATCTCTACTCCTTGTTGCACTTTGAAGGATTTATTGTAAACTGCTGAAATCTGTGCACTGTTTTGTAATGCGGAATGTGTGTGGATATAAACTCTTGGTTTTGAGGCTTTTGAGTATAGTTTTCAAACAGCCATGGATTTCAATAAAAACATTATTTTAAAAAAGTGAAAACTCCTACTTAAGTTAGCTAGTTGCTGGGAGACGGGAGTGTACCACAGTCATGGTTACCTGAGCTTTCATTCAGGTAGAGTTCTATCATTTTCAATAAGGAAAAATAAACCTTTGTCATCTTTAGAAACATCCTTCATACAATTGACAGTTGACAGGTTGAAGAAAATGTTACTGTCAGGTCTTATTTTCCAGTCAAGTGAGAAATAAAAATAGTTTTGAGTGATTTTTAAGAAAATCTATTTAAAAATTATTTCAAAATGTAGGGGAATGCTTTTAATATTTATTATGTATGTCATAGAATTAATCTGCCATTTGCTTCAGGGAAGGTCAGCAAAGTGCAATTCAAGGAGAGACTCTGACAGTTAAGTTCCTAGGCTGTTTACTTTAAAAAGTCCAATACAGTTGTTGTGTTTGTAATAAGATATCACTGGATGTTTTATGATGGCATTCTTTAAGAGATGTAAATACATCAGTATTATTCCTGTAATTATTTATCAAGTGACCCGTTTTCCATGACTGATGATCATGATTCTGCTGTGACGTGGGAATTCTGGTCATGTGATATCTGTATGTTTATGCATTGGACAGTTATGTTATTGGCACACAAAGATCAGACCTTTTTAAAAAATTGCTATTAATAATTTTAAATAACTGCACAGTGTAATGTATAGGTTTCCATGTGGAAATGTGTGAATACATGCTTGGAGATTAGGGAAAAAAGATGACTAAGTTTTTGCTCCCCAATTTAGAAAGGCTAGATTTTTGGCTTTCTGTTAAATCAGAGGTGTTTTTTTGTTTTTGTTTTTTAGAAGCAGCCATCTTGTTTTAAGACCGATTTTATTTCTTTCATGAAAATGGTCTGGAAATGAAAATGGACAATAGAAAAGGACTAAACCACTTTATAATAATTTTGGCAGGGCTCTACATTTAAAGCTCTCTCAAATTATTTGTGAGCTCATTAGAATGCTATTTTCTTGTATTTAGTTGAAAAAAAGGGAAGTTTTAATTTAGTAATAATATATTTTAAATCCAGGCATATTTTAATGTTAAATGTTGGGCTGTACCATGTTTACATACGTATTTTTGTTTTGTAGCTTATAATTTGTTGTTAATTTCAAAGTAGTATATTAAAAGCTCCTATGGTCACCCCCCCAAATCCTGATTTCCTTTTTTTGATTGTTCTAAGTAGGCCTTTTTATGTCAACCAACGTATTTTTTTTCCGCAAATCACTCAGCAGTACCAAGAATCTTTCTCTCGTAAGAGGTGCTGATAAAAATATAGGTATCTTTCAAAATGAAACATTTGGGATGCTTTCAGAAGCATTATGTGAGATCAGAGCCTTTTTGTCCCTGAAATATAGGCTTTCATTCTCTCATTACTAACTGTTCTTATGGGTTCTTATAGAAAATAGAGAAAATTATATTGGAAGTAGATTCATATTTGTTATTAAAAATTATGAGAATATATCAACCGAGTCTGCTATATTTTCCACCACATTTTGTATTTTTTGATACATTTGGAAGAACATGTGGCCTAGTAAAGTTTACCAAAAATTTATAGTAAACTTCTTGCTACTGCATCTGTTTGATGATGTCTGGGAACATTATTCCCATGAACTGCAGTAAAAACAGAACTTCCTTAAGATTAATTTCAGAGTAACCTGACTCAGTCAGTCTGATTAAACTGGGCACAGATTGAAAACTACTTATGTCACAGATTGCTTCAGTTCATTAGAAGTAGGATTTTTGGTGGTTGCAGATGCAATATAAAGGTGATAAATAAAATGCATGTTTTAGGAAGTGGTATACATCTCCTAGACTCCTTATTTGAAGTCCAGGTATGAGCTGATAGTTTTTGTACTGCAAAGCTTTCCTCTGATATCCATCATCCATCCATTTTTGTTTTGTTGTTTTGTTTTGTTTTTTGGCTGATGGAGAAGACTAGAATATCTGAGTGTCCAAAGTGACCTTTTTGTTTTAAATGGACTAATAAATACTATTGTTTTTTCTTGTTGCTTCTAAGCTGTCAGAGTGTCCATTCTAAGTCTTATTAGTGACTTATTTATGTATGTAGAAACTATAGTTAACAACTAGCTCTTGCTTTGTGTTGTGAAAATACATATTAGGAAACTCCTTTGTCATGTTAAAATGCAGTTTTATGGTTTGAATAAAATCAAGGCATGGCTTATTTTGGTTGGATAATTATAGTGCAAATTGTGATCTGGATTTTGATGGTGGTAGACATGATACTTGGTGTCTCATGTTCCACAGACACCCGTGGGACATACGGCTTTGTCACATTTACCGAACTTTAATAATGTGTGTGCTGGGGGGGCTTAACCTCTTGGTTAGGTTTTTTTATAGTACTTAATTTTATGGAAACAAATGGGAATAGAAAGAAAAGGAAGACTAATTCTGAATATGGGGAAATGATCCTTTGTGTTTAACAATTAGGTTAAACAAAGTGGGAGCAAATGAGCCTCGTTCCCCTTCTATTGTTTCAGGGCAAGAAAATACAGACAGATGTCGGAATGTGGAAGCTGTGACCTCTGACCCACATAGCATGGCCGCTGCCATGGCACACAAGTGTCCTGAGCCACCATAGTAGCAGGATGCTTTTTTGAAGTGACTGACACTTTGAGATGGAGAACCTGAAACTGATTCTGTAGCTATTTGCAGGTCTCTGAACTATCAGTCTTTTTAGCTTCACTTTTAAGTTCCTCACCTTACCTTTTATGAAAAATGTTTCTTTGTTTGGCTCAGACAGAGCTTTTGTGACTTCTGGATGGGTTCTGTATTCCTGTAGCCACTATCAATCTTTGCCTCCCAATAAATTCATTCGTCGGGTTGGGATAATGGAGGAGGCGCAGATGTATGGTTCTGCTGCACCAAAGCGTTTGTCTGCTTTATTTAACTAATATCTATATTTTAAAGACAGATGAAAGCGCTGGTTTTATTAAAGGCCCTTTCTTTTAGTTTCTGTCCTGCAATCTTGCCAATAACCCTTGGGTTCAGACAGACCATTAATGTTTTAGATACTGTGGCATTCAGTGTTTTCTTCATATATTTGTTTACTGTTACTGCTTCAATAAACTTTTATGCCTATTTCGGTAGTTTTCTGGCGGGGGCTCCATTTATTAAAATTTAGTGACCCAGCACAAAGAAGGGTACAGTTCAAATCGTGGTGCTTTTGACAGGGTTTTGTGTCAAACTCGAGAAAATAATAGGGAAATGAAAGCTGCCAAAATGTGTCTCCCAATTACTAATTAATCAGGCGAGAAAGGACCTCAGTGACAGATCTGGTGTCTGCCATGACAGCAACTCGGGGGGATGCTTTATTTTAAATACTGTATAAAACAAATTAAAGTAAGCCTCAGGGAATGGAGCACCCAGATATTTGATTTCACAAGTGCTAATTTAATTCCATGAAAAGCAAAGCAAAAAGCAAAATTTGAAACTGCGTCTTTGTACTCTTCACTGATAGTATCAAAACAAGCTATTCTAAAGAGTATTTCCCTTATTAATAAACAATGCCTTTATTCTTATT